CTCGCACACGGGACCGCAGGCGCTGCAGCTTCTCGCTGCCGGAGCGGACGCCTCCTACTCGCGCGACGGCGTGACATGCTACGAGATCGCAGTTGCTGCCGCTGCCGCAGACGACGCCTCGCCCGGCTCGGCTCTGTGCGCTCGCCCTCCCGCCCCGCCGGCCCCACCCCGCCCCGGTGGATCGCCGCCGCCGCGTCACGCCACGCCGGCCCGACTCGTCCCGCCTCGTGAGCCGCTGTCGGCCTGCGCCAGGTGCGCGGAGCTGCTGTCGCACAACGGCGGCGTGCCCCTCGCCGAGCTGCCGCCGCTGCCCTCGGAGATGCCAGACGAGGCTGGGCCGCCGAGCGGCGGCGAGGGGCCGCTTTCGCCGCGCTCCCCCCCCGCCGACGCAGCCGCGACGGTCGCCGCCGCCGCAACGGCGGTCGTCGGAGAGGTTGCGGCGGTGAGCGTCGAGCTCTCACAAGACGTCAAGGCGGCGGTGGGGGTGGTTGGCGAGGCGGCCGTGCAGTCGGCGCGCACCCTCGGGCTGGGCGCTTTCGCCTCCTCGATCAGCGACGTCGCCTCCTCCCTTGGGGGCACCATCGGCGAGATCATCGCAGAGGCGCCGGCAGAGCAGCGCTCGCCCACCCCGCCGTCCGCCTCGCGGCATCCGCCACAGCGCAAGGAGCCGATCCCCGAAACCTCGCTGCCGCCCAAGACACCGCCGCCGCCAGAGGCGCCTGCGGCTCCTGCCGTGGCGGCTCCGTCGCTGGCGGCGTGCACGGCGAGTCCCTCGGCGACGGCGACGGCGGCTGAGACGGCGGGACCTGTGGCGGCGGCGGCTCCCGAAATGGCAGCGGCGGCTCCCGCTGTGGCGGCTCCCGCTACGGCGACGCCCGCGGTTGCGGTCCCCGCGGTCGCGGCGCCCGCGGATGCGGCGCCCGCGGTTTCGGCCCCCGCGCGGGATGCGGGGCCCGCGATTGCGGCGGCGGCGCCTGCGGAGGAGCCGCTGATAGACTTCTGAAGCACCCGAGGGCGCGCAGTGGCGCACCGTGCTCTTCATGTGGTCCGGTTGCGTCGTTTTTCTGGTGTGTTCTCACGATATCACGTAGACCGTAGTCCTCGTGGTGTGTTCGTTGGAAAGGCGAAAGGGCGAAATTTCCCGTACTTCGATCTTGCGTGAGTTGCGACGTTCGTTCGTTCGCACGCGCCGCAGAGAGAGCGCGTTGCCGCTATGATGAAGCAGCCGGCAGCACCAGCGCCTGACACAGCCAATCTCAAAGCGGCTGCCATCACCTCCGTGACGATGCTCTTCTACGCCTCTAACGACATGACCTGCAAGATGGTGATGGCGCGGCTTCCCGTGCCAGAGACGCTGGCGTTTCGAAATGGCCTAACGGTACTTGGGACCGCTGCAATTGCAGGGCCGTCAGCACTCCGGGAGATTGCAACGCTATCAAGGCGGGACGCCAAGGCGCTCCTCGCACGCACCAGTTGCGACATCACTCTCACCACTTGCTTTTTGATCTCGCTGGCCGAGCTACCTTTGGCGAATGCGGCAGCCGTCCTGCAGATTGTACCTCTTATAATCGTACTCGGCGGCGCGGTCTTTTTTGGAGAGCGCGTTGGACCTGTTGATTGGCTCCTCTCCATTATCGGGTTTATCGGCGCGCTCATCATTATCCGGCCAGGCGCGCGTGTGCAGGACACGGCGAGACCACCAAGACCTCGGCTGAACCCCGGCCTCCTCATCCACGGCCTCGGTAGCCGCGGCGCCTCGGAAACTTCCCTAATTTGAGCCCCGGCCTCGCGTCGCGCCCAGGTTGCGAGGGCTTCAACGCCTTTTCTCTCTGGCTCGTCGCCGCGGCCTTTGCTGGCGCTCTGAGAGATCTGCTCTCGCGCACCTTATCTGATGCACTAGCCCCGAGCACTGTTGCGCTCTCCTCGTCGACGGGTGTCCTCCTTTGGAGCCTCGGCTGGCTGGCCTTGACCTCGCAGGCCTACGTCAGGCCCTCGGCGTTTGAGGTTTGGCTCCTCGTTGCGACAGCCGGCAGCCTGCTCACCGCCAACGTGCTGGCGGTCGTCATGATGCGCAGCGGGAACGCTGCTTTTGGCGCGCCATTTCGATACACGCTCCTCCTCTGGGCGACGTTGCTGCAGGCAGCGTTTTTCGGCGCTTGGCCTGATAGCCTGACATGCATCGGAGGCGGCGTCATCTTGTGCGCTGGCCTCGCTGCACTGCACCGCGAGGGACGGCGCCGCACCGTCCGCGCAGCCCCGAAGAACAGCACGCATGTGGCCCCAGCGCCGACGCGCGCGAAGTTGTCCGAGCGGCTGCTGGAGTTGGAGGCGTGAGTGTTATCGCCGCGCACAAACTTGTGCGTTTTCCGTTTCGTCAGTACTACGTTACGCGGGCTGCCAATAGGATTAGGAAGATCGTGTTCGTACTCTGAACTCTCGCTCTCTGATTCAATGTCCGTGATTCTCCAGTCTCTGTACGGAGACTGCAGACTGAGGCCTCTTTTGTAGGGAAGAATTTTGACACCCGTCAAGACGCCTGCTGGGGGCACGGCTTCGCGACGAAGCCGTCTCTGCTCCCCCAGCAGGCACACACACAAGACAGATAGGAGGAGAAAGGGGACGGTGGTGGGTTCGACGAGGAGAGAGAGAAGGTACTGGCGACGCGCACTGACTGACGTCAGCTCTGCCTCTGAAGTGCCAGGAGCTTACTTGTCGCCAACCAGATTTCGATCTCGTCGCCAGACTCCGATTTATCTTTGTCAGGCCGCGTGACGCTCGCCGCTCGCGTCCGCCCAACTGACTTGGACGCGCGGTCGAGGGCACCCCACCGTTCTTGGGGCGCGCTGGCGCTCACCAGCGATCGTCCGTTCGAGCTTTGAGGCTGTCGCTCCGAGAAAGCTCGTCTCGCACAGCTGAGAAGCGGTATATATCTTTGAGGTTTGAATGAGTCGTCTCTCCATGTGCAGAGCACTGTCACTGAGCACGAGACTCTCCAGGACTCCACCGCACACCCGCACACACGGTTCTTGCTTCTTGGCCGCCGACGTTTTTTTGCCCCCGGCGGTCGTTTACACCACACCGAGGGAGTACCCTAGAAGTGAGAGAGATCAGGGGAAGCCACCATGGGGGACAGGCACCAAGGCACTAACTTCATCACTCATTCGCCCCGCGCGATCTAGCAAGCCCTGGTCGAGGGGTCTTAGGATCGGCGGCCAGCTTCCCACATACGGCTTTATGGCAGGTTTGAGGACACGGGCTGGCCAAGGGGGAGAGAATGGAGGGGGGAGAATATGCGTGCCCGTTTTTCTTCTAAAGCATTTTTTTACACAACTCCGTACTCGTTTTACGCGTGACCACCGCCCTCCCTCAGCGCTCATGCTGCTCAAGGGCCTTGCGTTCACTATCTATCTCACGCCAGCCCACTCCCGGCTCGCATCTGCCAGCTTCGCGAGCGCGCGGCGGTGGTCCCTCTCGAGGGTCCGCATTGCAGCAGCGGACGAGGCCGCTGGCAGGACAGCCGCGAGGTGGGCGACGAGCCGCGGCGGCGGCTCGGCGCGCAAGTGCCGCAACGCGCCGCACAGCTCGGCGAGGGCCGCCGCGTCGGCAGCGCCCAACGGCGCCGAGCGCTCGCCCGGTAAGCGGACGGTTGCAACCGCCTAAAGGGGGGGGGGGCGGGGGGGTGCCTGCGTGAGAGGCTGCCTGCGTGTGGCGGCCGCCATGCCCCCCCCCTCCCCCCCGGCAAACAGAGGGCGGGCCAGAGGGTCAAGCGAGTCCCCCGTCCAAGGAGCGCGCCTGCAGCAGCGACCGCTGGGCGGCACCTCGCTCGCAAGCCGCCGCGAGAGGCAGCCGACTGAGCGCCCGGAGCGCCACGCCAAGCTGCACCGCCGTCAGCTTGGGCGCGAACCTACAGCGAACGGCACCGCCGCCCTCTGGACGGCGCCGGCATGGGGTGCGGGATGGCGGGGGGGGCGATGCGCACTCGGCGAGGCGGGAAGCGAGCATCGGCGTGGCGGGCGGCCGGTCCCACCTATGGGCGAGTCGTGGACGTGTTGTGGACGTGTTGCGGACAGCGCGGCTGGCTGATCCCGCACCGGAGCTGCTTATTCTTAATTAATTATTAATTAATCCCGCACCGGAGCTGCGCGAGTGCGGCGAGGAGGACTATTTATTACTATTATTATTATATTATGAATGATTAATTATTCATTAATCCCGCACCGGAGCTGCGCGAGTGCGGCGAGGAGGACGAGCGAGTCGGCGACGCGCAGGAAAGAGAGCTTCTCCGCAGCCTCGTCGCTGATCTGCTCGAGCGCGACGGGCAGCCAGAGCTCGGCGGCGGCGAGCGCGGCGCTGAACTCGGCGAGCGCGCGCCCGTTCATGTCCGGGAGCAGGTCGGGCAGTCGGTCCGCCTGCGGGGCAGAGTGCCGCTGGATGTCGCAAGAGCTGTGTCGGGGCCCTGTCTCGGACGGGTCGAGAGGCGGGCGGCGTGGCTTGCTCGCCGAGGCGCGCAGCAGCCGCTCGTCCGACACGCCGAGCGAGGCGAGCGAGGAGAGCAGCGACGGCAGCTCCACCGGCCCAAAGTCGGCGAGCTTTGCCGCCGCCGTGTCGACGACGCCGCCTGTCGCGGGAGAGAGCTCGACAGTGAAACCGCCGACGAATCACTCGTTAGTCGTCGACGAGAGAGCTCGACGGTGACGCGTCGACGGGTGGCCGCCGCGCCGTGCGAGGTGTGGGCAGAGGCCAACCGGCCGGCTGCGCCCTCGACGCGAGTCCGCCCATCTGGCGCTCCCATCTAGCGCAGACCGAGCAGCCGGCGCGGCGCGAGCCCGAGCCCGAGCAGGCCGCCGCACAGGTTGGCGAGGTCGATCGGGTGCAGCCCGCGCACGTCCGCCTCGGCGCGCTCGAGCAGCGGCCGCGCGAGCGCCTCGTCGCGCCACCGCAGCCGGCCGAGCGAGTACACGCCCGAGACCACGTCGCGCAGCGCGAACGTCTCTGCGCGGCGGGCGCTGTGCGAGCACAGCTCGCCGAGGAGCGTCGCGTCGCGCAGCTGGAGGTACGCCGCGGCCTGCAGCGCGTTGGAGAGCTGCCGCGCGTTGAGCTGCGGCAGCGAGGCGAGCACGTCCGAGCGCAGCGCGCCGAAGCGCGGGTCGCGCGCCACCCGCGCCTCGCCGGCGAGGTGCGCCGGCATGCGCGTGAGCTGGCCGAGCGCGTAGAAGGCGGCGACGGTGTCCGCCGGCTTGAGCACCGGCCGCTTGGCCTCGTAGGCGCCGAGCACCTCGTCGGTGCTCTTCAGCTGGCTGAACTTCGGCGGAGCGCTGAGGGACTCGAGCCGCAGCTGCGTCGCTCTCTCCGCCCGCAGGATGCGCCGCTGCAGCTGCTCCTCGCGCCTCAGATCGGTGGCGGAGAACTGCGGCCGCTGCGGCAGGATGGCCATGGCGCGTCGCGGCGGCAACCATCGAGCGATGGAGGCGACGAGCTGGCGGGGCGGCAGCATCATTTCCGATTTGGGCGTTGGTTTTCTCTCGTCGTACGTAGGGGACAGTTAATAACGCGCGGGCCCTCAGCGGAGCTGGGAAGAGGACCGCCGCAAGCGGCGTGGCGTGGAGCGGTTGTGCATCGCTCCGGGGGCCCCTCTGCGCCGGGGAGGCGTTGTTGGAGGCTAGGACGCAAGCGTCCGTCGCCCTTTTTCAAACTCGGGGCCCACTCCGCTACGCTCCGACCCGAATTTGGAGGGCCTGAAAAGTTTAAGGTGTTGCTGCGCAAAAGGGTGGGGAGCGCAGGCGCGGGCGCGCAGTGGAAGCACGCTAGCCATACATATTCAAGCAGAGAAGCTGACGGTCGGGGTCGTGACGGCTCGAGGGTGCGCACACTATTGCGCGCTCAAGCCGGTCCAGCCGTTCACGCATGGGCAAGTCGTCCGTCGTGTACGACGACCGTGGGAGGGGGCGGCCTTCTTCCCGCCACCGGTTCCTCGCTGCAATGATCGCTGCCTCAAGCGGACGCGATCTGCCGGATGCGTCGACCGCAATTCCCGGAATCTCGGCCCGCACCACACGCGGCAACACAACTTCCCCATGCCGCAGGTAGACCTCGTACACCATCCGCCGAAGCCGAGCGGCCGGACTCTCCACCGGAATTTGTTGGCGTGCTGTCGCCGCGTCATCCGGCGGCTCCTCCTCTATGAGACGTCCGGGAGCACGCCCTGCCGTCGCTCTCGACGAGCGCCGCACACCTGCGCGGACAGTGGGCAGACGTTTCCGCCTTGTGTCCTCGTGTGCCCGGAGAGCCTCGAGCCGGCGCGCACCGGTGGCAGCGCAGGATGAGGCGGCAGCAGTGGAGGGTTGGGGCGCATTTGAAGGCGCTGGCCCCGACGCGCCATTGCCTGGGTCGGGGTGGTTCCTCACCCCTCTCGTTTCTTCAATCAAGCGGGAAGAGTCTGAGCAAGGGAGGCGGATGGGGCTGGCTGCGTCACCCTGGAGCATGAAAGGTTCCTACGGTAAGGCTACTCGGGTACGCAGCACCTTGGCTTGGCCCCCGAGCGGGGAGGCGGTCGACGACGCGCAGCATGGCGGTGAGCGCAGCCTGACGACGCGTCTTGATGGACGGATCCTTCAACCGACTGACCAATGTCCTCCATCCCTCGATCAGCGGCTTCGTCACCAACATGCGCTCGAGAGGCGGAGCAGCCTCGATGCGATCCAGTTCGGTAGCTATCTTGTCGCGCAGCGCATCGTCAAAAGGAAGCTTGTTGCAGGCGTCGCGCGCCTCCCCGAGGTCACGCAGGAAGCTCTCCATATGTGTTGCAATAGACCCCCGCGTTTGGTGGTTGTTGCAGTGCTCCCGTAAAAGTCTTGGCACCAGCTGAAGGCTTGCACGGCGGCACATCGCCGGATTCGTGCACGGTATTCGGATTTTGGCTATTTGTTCGTGTGGGGGTATATCGCAGATTTGTCAATGGTACCGCGTCTGCGACGCGGGCGCCTTGCGAGCAGAGCCCTTAGGACACCCTTTATATCTTGCGCGGTCATAATTTCCCTTCCAAAAAACGAGTGTGGAGTGAGCCCGTGCAGCCGTGCTCACGAATTCTCTGAACCCAGTCTTGCGACTGTCACTGTGCTATTTCGGGCCGGGGTTGTGCTTTTGTGTGAAATACACATTATTGAAGCGACGAACCCGCAGGCCGGCCGGAAGAAATACTGGCGGAGAAATAAGAAATGCACCGAAGTTTCGCTGCCTTCCAACTTCTGTGGCCGCCTGGTCGCATCCGTCTCGTGCAGCGAGCCACCTGTGCTTGGCAGCCTCCTCGCGCTCCGCCCGCCCCCACGTCGGCGCCTGCATCCGCGCGAGCCACGCCGCCTTGGCCTCCTCTACCCTCTCGTCGATCGCCCTCTCGTCGATCGCCGCATGTCGCTCGACGCCCTCCCTCCCGAGTGCAGCGAGTGCGTCGCCCTGACGCTGCGCGAGCCCCGATCCATCCTCAGCCTCACCGCGTCATGCCGCACACTGTACGACGCCCTCCGCTCCTCGCGGCTCCTCTGGCGCACGCTCTGCCTCGAGCTGCTCGGGGCGCCGCTCGTCGACCTGCACCTCACCGCGTGGGGCTGCTCCGGCGCGGACCCGCGCTTCTTTCGACGCCTCTACCGCGCCGCCTCCCGCGGCGACGAGTTTGTGTATGCCAACAAGCTCCGCTCCGAGATGATCGGCGACTCCGAGCAGCTGGAGGCGGCTCTGGTCCGCACCGGGCACACGTCCACCGGCGCCGGAGGCTTCGTGGCGCTCGTCGGCGGCTGGCGACCCGACTGCTCGGAGCC